CTGTAGCAGCCCTCTGGGCATAGTGCCGCTCACAACTTCTGGTCATTAATCCTCATTCTCTCTCTTCCCCACCCCACCCTCGTTCACCCTGCAGGCAGCAAAAGAGACCTTGGCCAAAGCTGTGCTGGCGGAGCTGCCCCAACAAGTTGTGCAGTATTTCAAGCATAAAAACCTGCCCCCCACCAACTCGGAGCCCGCCTGAGCTCCAGTGCCCAGCAGCAGCATGTCGGCTGAGCCTCCCGCCCTCCCCCAGGAACATGCACGCTCACCCTGCTTCCTTGTGGGTGGCCTTTTTTTACCGATCCACATTTTTATTTTTTACAACCGGACCTCCACCCCCAACTTCCTTCAGCCCAGCTGGGCTTCCTTTGTTGGAGTCAACTGTTGATGCTTCCAGGCCAAACTGGCTTCCTCTCCTCCTCTCCCCACCTTTGCCATTCTTAAGTATTGAATGTACTTTGTATAATTTTAGTGGAATTATTATTGTTATTGAGAATAAAATTTTTACAATCATAACTGGCTTTTTCCAAGTAACTATATGCAGACTCTGATGAAAGGAACGTGTCCTTGGTGCATACTTCGTGTCGTAGCCTGTACCTAATTCCTGCTGTCTTTTTTAATACTGTGACTGTGTTCTATTTGTTATATACTCAGGGTAATAAACAAGTTTCAGATGTCCCTGCGTCAGCTCCTTCCTCAGCAGGGACCTGACGGGCTCACTGATCTGAGAAAGGAAATGGAAGATGAAAATCCACCCTGCAAGTCTGCTAAGTTGGTGGAGTCACCTCTGCATGGGGACATGCATTCCAGATGATAAGCTGTTAAATCGCTGCCAGTTAACAGTGATAACCTGTTAAACCGGCACAGAACCTAGCACATTGTACAAACTCAATAAATATTTGTGGATGAATAGAATGAATGTGCAGGCCCACACCAGTTTCTGGGTGGTTGCACTCAGGTGCAACCAATACCACATATCCCTACCCCACAACTGGACAGCAGTCCCAGTCACCCATCTGCTCCTCCTTGGGTCTCCCGGGTGTTTGGGTCGGCCACTGGAGGTCTGTGAAAGCCTCTCTGGCTTCAGGACCCCAAAGGGGGCTGCTTCTGACCCTGTTGTTTCTTCTGCATCCCCCTCTCTAGGCTTAGGCCCAGTTTTATGAAACCAGTCAGAGGACCCCTCTCTGAAAGTTCAGCCCCCATCCCAGGTCCCTCCTTTATTCCACATACATCTTCTCTTTTAGCCACTTGACTCCCGCTTGGAGCTCCAGGTAGCCCCTTGGACATGGGCTTCCGTGTAATCAGTAACAGCTAACCCTCCTGTTAAGCACTGATTCTAGCTCCATGTTCAGTGTTTTACAGGCACTTTTTCTTTTTTGAGACAGGGTCTCACTCTGTCCCACTCAGGCTGGAGTGCAGTGGTGTGATCTCGGCGCACTGCAGCTTCAACCTTGTGGGCTCAAGCAGTGCTCCCACCTCAGCCTCCCGAGTAGCTGGAACACAGGCATGCACCACCACGCCCAGCTAACTTTTGTAGACACGGAGTTTCACCATGTTGCCCAGGCTGCAAACACTATCTTGGTGAACCCTTAAGATAGCTCCTGACAGTGACCATTTCAGAGATGAGGAGACAAGCAGAGAAGCAAATCAAGTCTACTAGAGGCAGAGCCAGGCCTCATACCCAAGTCTGGCTGCCTCATGGCCCTCACTTGCTCCACTGCACTGAATGCCTTCCCTTGGCTCTGGATGGGGTTCTTCTGCTCAAGCTGCTAATGAATTAGTCACTCTGTGCCACTGACACTGGGAAGTCACTTGTCACCATCTACTCTTCTGCTCAGTAATTCTTACCGGGGCCTGCTAGGATTGGGCACCACAGCAGGTTGATTCCCATCTCTTAGTGCCTGGTGAGCTCCAGCCAGAGTTCTTCTGGCAGGAGTGAGTAAGGGATACCTTCATCCTAAGCTTCTGGTGCCCCTGCCGATTCTGTGGACACCAAGAATCAGCTGAAGGATCTGTTAGGGACACTTCTCTCAAGAGGGCCGCAGGATTTGCAGACTGTCCTTCGGAAAACCACAGTGCACTGGCCCCCAGGCTGGCAACATGGGTGGAATCCCACCCCTCCCTTACACCTTCCTGTGGGAGCGGCTTACAAGCTTGGTGAAACTAGGGAGACTACCATCCACTGGGCCACGTGAGACCCAGCCTTGCAGTGGGGGTCTGTCCCACATGCTCCCACTCTCAGGTCACTTCCTCAGGTGTGGTGGCTGCAGTCCCCACATCCAGGCTTCACATGGGGCAGATCCAGCCATCTCTGCTCTCTGTCTGCCCCTTCTCTGCCTAACAGTGGGTGGGTAAGCAAACAGGCCCTTTACTCCTAGCTGGCTTCAGTTCACAAACTTGTCTAAACGCTTGTCTAAGAGTTTATCTAAACTCTTGACAAGGCCAAACAAATCACTTTTTATTTTTTTATTTTTGAGACAGAGTCTCACTCTGTCACCCAGGCTGGAGTGCAGTGGCACAATCTCAGCTCACTGCAGCCTCCGCCTCCTGGGTTCAAGTGATTCTCCTGCCTCAGCCTCCCAAGTAGTTGGGACTACAGGTGCACGCCACCTTGCCCGACTAATTTTTGTATTTTTAATAGAGATGTAGTTTCACCATGTTTGTCAGGCTGTTCTTGAACTCCTGACCTCAAGTGATCCGCCCGCTTCCCAAAGTGCTAGGATTACAGACATGAGCCACGGCGCCTGGCCCCACATCACTTTTGTAAAATTCCAAGCTTTGGTGCGGCTACTTGGTTCCTGCACATGGATGAGAGGCTGAAAAGTGAACTTGGAAACTGAGCCAGAAAGACTCCTTTACCCTTGAATCTCCTCCATGGAGGCCTGGGCACTGGCATTTGTTTAGAAGTTTCACTGAAACCAAAGAAAGCTAGACTTAAAAGTTCAAATGAAAATTCTGGTTCTGTCACTTAGCTATGCAACCTCAGACAAGCCATTGAGCCCCTAGGAATTCTGATTTCCTGTAAAATATAGAGAAGGGCTGCTTCACAGGACTTTTTTTTTCCCCCAGAATGAAAGACACTACAGTCCACAAAAATAATGCACAAATGCCCCAAACACCCTGGCACATACATAGCAAGCTCTCAGTATACACTGAATGAAAGAAACCAACACAAGCAATGATGTGCATGACTATTACTAAAATAGTAATGGAAGACCAGCTTGCAGTATAAAGCACAGGTGAATGGCTGTCCCTCAGGGTTTCTGCCTCTCCCCTCTGCAAAGCTCTGATGCTGGGGCCATGTTACCACCGTGAGGCTCCCTCTCTCTCCGAACCGCTGCCCCAGCAGGTAAGGGAGCAAAATGTTAGCCCTTGCCAGTGTCACTAAAGCACAAATGTGTGACTGGTTTCTGTGTTCAACCTGTAACTACAAAAGCATTGCCAAGATCCTAGCCTCCCACTGAGCAGAACTTGCATTCCATCCTGTGACGCGTAAGTGGGCCGGGCATGCCAGAAAACCAAGAAAATACCCAAGTCCAAATAATCTGCACCACCATGGAGCTGTTTTTCTGGAAGGGCCGAAGATGACAGCTGAGCCATATACCCACGGCTAGGACAACTGCGCCAAGGAACCGGGTGTGCCTAAGCAATTAACATTTAGCCAAAAGGGAAGCATACAGCAAAAGCTGGTGGTTGGAGCTTCGACGACCAGATCTGACCCTTCGCCCATGACAGTGTTCTAGCTGCAACTGAGGAATGCCAGTGGAATGGATAAACCTGCATAAATCACCACTAATGGAGGCTCTGGATACGCCACCCAGAAACAAGGGAGGGCTGATGGTAACAGCACTGAGGGTGGTCACCAGTTACTAAACACTGTGTGTCAGATACCGCACACCTAGCACCTAATCTAGGTTATCTCTAACTCCCTAGGAAGTTAGTGGTGTTATTCCTATTTACCAGGGAGGAAAGTGAGGTCCAGAGAGGTAACACTAACCTTCCCCAGTGACACAGCTAGTCACAGCTGGCTCCTAACTCATAACCACTATGGTGGAACTAGGCTGAGTTCCCAGAGAGGAGCAGCAGAAACAGCGGGGAAGGGCTTAGGCAAATGAAGCTCCTCTCTTGGGTGGGAAGGAGGTGGCCAGACAGGAAGAACTCAGGAGCTAGAGTGAAAGAAATGAGGATGCCTGGCACTAAGTCACCCGACTTAGGTGCTCCTGACTCCCAGTATAGAATGATCCTGAAAAAAGCTGAAGCCACCCCCCACCCCACCCCTCTGAATTTGGGGAGCCAGCTCTCAGTCTCTTGCATCCTTAGATTCAGGGAAGACATACACAAGTAGGTAGCCAGCCACCTTTTTGGGTCTAGTCACATCAGCTTCCCTGGTTTTTACAGATGGAAAAATAGATGCTTTGAATATCACACTCACTTTCTCCACCCAGTTAGGTGACACAAGCTAGATAATCCTCCCCAAATAGAGGTGGCAGTAGGATTCCTATTAGCTTTCTCCCTCACATGGTTGCAGAATTATAAGAATCCAACCACTCAGGACAAAGTAAGCGAGCTTAAAGAAACCCATGCCAAACTTCATTTTTGTCCCGTAATTACCCAGTTATAAAATCCCAATTATTAAGGCAGGAGTACTACACTTTATGGTTTAAAGCAGTGTTTCCTTCCAGCCCTGTTTATTCTATTCTCCTTTGGGTTTGAACTTCAAGTCTACACTAGATACTTTTCAAGGCTGCTTCCTCTGTTGGTCAGATCAGATGCTGCTTTGTTAGCTGTGGTTTCTACAGAAGCTCTGTTTCAGTTCCAGAGCTCTGTGCTAATGGGTACAATGGAATATGATGCAACGATCACCAGTGATTCTCAGTCTCTCCTGAGACACCAGAAGATAAGTCACAGTCTGGAGTCTCACTCAACCTTCTCAACACAATCTAGCTGAGAGACACGGGGAGAGTTGGAAGCACAATATTCAGTAGAGGAAAAACAAGATCTTGTTCTCTGACAGGTTTATTAGCTTTCATGTTAATGTATGTTTTTAAACCCTGCAACCTTTTGTCAACTTCTTTCCACATCAAGAGGCCATGAGGTACAGTAATGTGGCTTGACTCAAGCCACATAAAGATGGTGACTTGATGCCCTAGCCTGCCTCCTGTAACAATGTGAGGCTGTTTTGGGTACATGCTGTAATAACAACACGACTATCATAGGAACAATGAAGCAGAGAAGCAGAAGGTGCCTACACAGTTTTACCTAAACATCTTGTTTGTTAGGATGGAGCTGACGCGCCCATACTGGCAGTCAGGAACAATTAGCACAGAGTAGTTCTGAAAAGGAGGAAGAATTCACAAAGCATCAGTTATGGGTGCAGGGAAGTCGCCATCTGCCAACGGGCACCGGAGTGTCACTGCACTGGAAGGGGAAAACGAGTGGGCTGGATGAGATCCAGGGGCCTCTCTGCCCACGTTCAAAGTCAGTAGCTGCTCTGCCTGCCGGCATCACAGTGTCAACACATTTTGTGTGTGTCTCACTCAGTCTCACACCCAAGAAAGTAAAAACAATTGACGTAGGAACAAGGGGAATGGATAAAGAATGGTACACGCTTATTCTAAAGCAGGAGAGCCTACAGATTGTCATCAAAGCTCATATCTTATCTCTTTCCTAGAGGCCTCCAAACCATCTCCCTCTCCCTCCTCCAGAATCCAAAGGATGAACCCGTTTCCCTTTATGAGACAAGGTGGAGCAGCACCTCTAGTTTTTGGCTGCTCATGGCCTCAGAGTTGCTTTTTGGAAAGGAAAAAGAGCAGCAGGGGCAGCAAAGAAAAGTATTAGGGCAGCACCTTTAGGTTAGAAATAGATTCCACAGTGAAAAGCACAAGTATAATGTGCATTAAACAGAGAAGGGCCTCAGTAGAACAGTCACAATATGCAAGTGTGTCCCACTCGTTTACAATATCAGGATTCCAGGAGCTGCCAGAAATAAGTCATCTCCTTAACATACCTACCCACAGTTCTGATGTCTGGCTATGAGTAAACAAGGCCTATGTTTGTTTCTCTAAAATTTAGAATCTTAAACTAAATCCTTTATTTCAAAAACAAACATAAAATAATTTCCCAGGCAGAGAAAAGGTCTGAGATGGAAGCTTTCTTGTTAGCAGTCCCTTCCTGCATAAATGGGGTTGGATAAAGAGGGGAGAGAGAATGGCCAAGGGTACGGAAAGCTTTCACAATGCATGCCGAGTGTGAAGTGACACCCCCATCAGATGGGGTTTATCATCTTTACTTAGTCACACAACATCAAGGACTGGTTAGTTCCAGGGAAGGGCTCCATTTCATCACCTGGGTCAGTTCTCTTCCCCCGCATGCTCCACAATGCAGTAGAACCAAACAACACGTTCACCTACAATAGAATGTTTAAATAACACCTGTCCAATAACTGCCCTTACTTCTTTGTGCTGTCAGGAAAAGAAAAAAACAGAAAGCAATAAAACCCAAACCCTTTGGCAAGCGAGCCGGTGCCTATTCTCCTAGGGCATTTTTAGTGGAACTTCGGCTGGGCCTTGCCCTCCTCCCAATATCAGTGAGGAAAGTGGCAGCAGGACAGGTTTGCTCATGTACACTGCAGTAGAAAGAGAAACCAAACACAATTCGGGCCACAGGTGGATTCTGGCACATTTTTAGATTGGATTGGTTAAAAATGTCATGTTGTGCACAGGATGCAGGCAAAGGAGTTTTTTTTGAGGGATGTAATGCCCGAAGGCAGCATGAACGGTCCAATCTACCCTTGGGGAGGAGCTCCCTGTGTAAGGACAGAGAAACTAGGGGGCCTCGAGGAAAGTGTTGGTTCTGAAGATGGAGGAGACAATCTTTCCGGTGGCATTGATGGTGCCTTCGCTGTCTGAGCTGGACTCGGAGTCGCTGCTCCCAGAGTAGGCGCCCAGGCCCGGGAGGATGCCGATACAGACTGCAGCAGAGGGGCAGTGGATGGAGGGGCCACTCAGGGAAGTGTTTCCGAGAGACTTGCAGGATGAGGGCTCTGCAATAAAAGGTGAAAGACTGTCATTTCGTCACCCTTTTCCAAAGTTGGGGACTGACTTACTATGTGCCAGGCACTGTACCGCGGGCTTTTCCCACAGAGAAGCCTCAGAACAACACTATGCAGCCAATACTATCATCACCCTAAGAGGTGGGGAAACTGAAGGAGGAAGGGAGGCTCCAGGAGGTGAAAGGACTTCTGAAAGGGGCAGAGCTGAGACTTGAATCAAGGTCTTTTTAACTCCAGAGCCTGACTACACTCTCTTGTCCCCCATCAAATCTGAGCTGGAGAACAAGCTACTCTGGAGTGCAGCCTAGAGTGCTTTGATTTCCCCGTGCTCACACAGCCGTGAGAATCTGAAGACAGATTAAGAGAGACACTGTGAGCAATATTAACAATTCCATTAAGTTCTCAGCATATTACGCCATTCCTTATTTACTGACCAATAAGCCAGCTAGCACAGATACAATTTCAAGGTCAAACATCAGCTACAAAATAACATTCTTTTCTTTTTAAACATTTAATTTTTTTTTTTTTTTTTTTGAGACGGAGTCTCGCTCTGTCGCCCAGGCTGGAGTGCAGTGGCGCAATCTCGGCTCACTGCAAGCTCCGCCTCCCGGGTTCACGCCATTCTCCTACCTCAGCCTCCCGAGTAGCTGGGACTACAGGCGCCCGCCACTGCGCCCGGCTAATTTTTTTCTATTTTTTAGTAGAGACGGGGTTTCACCATGGTCTCGATCTCCTGACCTTGTGATCCGCCCGCCTCGGCCTCCCAAAGTGCTGGGATTACAGGCGTGAGCCACCGCGCCTGGCCCTTTTTAAACATTTAAAAAAATCGGGTAGCCCCCTGGACTAGAATAGGCTTAGAAGGACTCACCAGAATAACGTTCTTTATTAAGAAGGGCCGCTTTTCCCAGATAGGAGAGAGGAGCAATTCAGAAACCAATTTAACACAACCTTTGCTTTCCAGTTGTGTTCTTTTACAAATGAGAAAACTGAAGCCTGTCAGGTAACATTTTAAGGCCATGCAGAATGTCACCTAGGAGCTGGGACTGTTTTTCTTACAGGAAACCCACAGTTACTCTGCCACCTCAATGACAAAGATCTCAATCTAGACAATGCAGGACTTGGCTGGGCATGGTGGCTTATGCCTATAATCCTGGCACTTTGGGAGGCTGAGATGGGAGGACCACTTGAGGTCAGGAGTTTAAGACCAGCCTGGGCAACACAGTGAGGCCCTGTCTCTACGAAAAAATGTTTTGAAAAATTAGACGGTGCCGAGCGTGGTGGCTCATGCCTGTAATCCCAGCACTTTGGGAGGCCAAGGTGGGTGGATCACTTGAGGTCAGGAGTTCAAGGCCAGCCTGGCCAACATGGTGAAACCCCATCTCTACTAAAAGTACAAAAAATTAGCTGGGCGTGGTGATGTGTGCCTGTAATCCCAGTTACTAGGGAGACTGAGGGAGGAGAATAGCTCGAATCCAGGAGGCAGCAGTTGCAGTGAGTTGAGATCACGCCACTGCACTCCAGCCTGGGCAACAGAGCAAGACTCCGCCTCAAAAAAAAAAAAAAAAAATTAGTCGGGTGTAGTTGTGCATGCCTGTGGTCCCAACTACTTGTGAGGCTAATGCGAGAATTGCTTGAGCCCAGGAGTTCAAGGTTACGGTAAGCTATGATGGCACCACTGTACTCCAGCCTGGGTAACAGAGCAAGACCCTGTCTGAAAAAAAAAAGAAAGAAAGAAGAAAAAGAAGGAGAAAGAAAGAAAATGCAAGACTTGAAGACTAAAGAAAAAGTTAAGAACTCTACTCCAGCCCTTCCGTTCTTCCCTGAAATGTTTCCGGCCTTATTTAATCACTACAACCTGAGGTATAGGCATTGTCCCCATTTTACTGATGAGGAAAGCCAAATGACTTGGCAAGGCTGCAGGTTGCTTAAGGCAGAAAATGTGAAACTAAACATGAATCAAAAGAGAATATACTAAAATGTTAACCTGAGCTCACTGCAGAGTAAGTTCATACTTTGTTGCCATAGGCTGACAAGCATACTACCTTCTAGGGTTTTGCCTTAGATGTACTAATACCTCATTTGCCCAGACACCTCAAGTAAATGTGAAGAGAACACACAGTTCCAAGTATAGGAAACCAGGAGTAAGCAAACAATACCACTGAGGAGTTAGAAGAGATATCAAACGGCCCGCACACAAAGTTCAGATCAATGCATTTGCTTGTTTGTGCAAGAAGCTCTAAGAAGGGAAAAGGAAGCTGCCAAAGATAAGCAATGTTAAAACATGGAGATGGAGAAAAGTAAAATGAAAGCCAACAATGGCTACAGAGATACAGCAAGGCGATAAAAGAGGCAGGAGCAAATACTTGCAATATCACAAAAGCAAATTTCCTTAAAATACTAAGAGTTCTTCCAAATCTGTTAAAAAAACAACCAACAACCAAATAGAAAAGTGAACAGAAAACATGAACAACTCAAAGAAAAAGAAACAGATGAATTTTAAACATAAGGGGATAAACAATGTATTAGGAGGGAATGTGTTGGGAACAGCAAACTTCGTATGCTGTTCAGGGGGTACAGAGAAATTTGGCAAGGTTCTTTGAACTTAAATGATGTTCATAAAAGAACATTCATTGCAGCACTGTTTACAGTAGCAAAAGAGTACAGACAACCAAAATGTCCATCAGATGACTAGTTAAGTAATGGACTACTATTCAACCACTAAGATGAATAAAGTAGCTGGGCATAATGGCTCATGTCTGTAATCTAAGCACTTTGGGAGACCAAGGCAGAAGGATCACTTGAGCCACCCAGGAGTTTGAGAACAGCCTGGCCAACACAGGGAAACTCTGTCTCTACAAAAAATTTTAAAAATTAGCCAGGTGTGGTGGTGCACACTTGTAGTCCCAGCTACTCAGGAGGCTGAGGTAGGAGGATCACTTGAACTGGGGAAATTGAGGCTGTAGTGAGCCATGATCACACCACAGAACTCCAAACTGGGTGACAGAGCAAGAACGAAGAAGAAGAAGAAGGAGAAGGAGAGGAAGAAGAAGGAGAAGGAGAAGGAGAGGAAGGAGAAGAAGGAGAAGGAGAAGGAGAGGAAGAAGGAGAGGAAGAAGAAGGAGACGAAGAAGGAGAGGAAGAACAAGAGGAAGAGGAAGAAGAGGAAGAGGAAGAAGAAGAAGAAGAAGAAGAAGAAGAAGAAGAAGAAGAAGAAGAGAAAGAAAAGAAAGAAAGAAGAAGAAGAAGAAGAAGAAGAAGAAGAAGAAGAAGAAGAAGAAAGCATCTCTGTGTGTACTGTTATTGAATGATCCCCAAGATATTGTGCTAAATGAAAAAGGCAAGGAGCAGGACAGTGTGTGAAAGTTATAATTTGGGGCAAAGTGGTCATGCCCATGTATACGCATGTCAGTGTCTGAGAACAATAAAAAAAAACTGGTAGCAGTGGCTGCTCAGGGGAAATGAACTTAGTGGTTGGAAAACGGGGGAGACTTACTTTTTACTCCACATTCTTTTGTCCCTTTTGAATTTTTTCTTTTCTTTCTTTTTTCTTTTTTTTTTTTTTAGAACATAAGTCTCACTATGCTGCCCAGGTTAAACTCCTGGGCTCAAGCGATTTTCCCGCCTCAGCTTCCCAGAGAGCTGGGATTACAGGCATGAGCCACCTAGCCTGGCCTAAATGTTTTATTATGTGCATATATAACCAATTCAGACAATTTTTCAAAATGCAGCCGTGCTTGGGTAGACAATTTTTTAAAAAAGCAAACACAAAAAATTCAAAGAACATCCTGAGCACTTAAACTAGGGAGGAACAGTCCCGTTTATCTCTGTAACCCCAAGAGCATCTCAGTATTAAAGCTAAGAAGGATGCAGAAGATAAGAGGGGTTGCTTGTTTGTATTCTCCACTAACTGTAAGCCCCTTGAAGGCAAGCACTCTTTTATCACCATTCCACCCCCAGGCCATATAGCACAAGGCCTGGCTCAGAGCAGGCTTGCATCCACAAGGGTCAGAAATCAGAATGCAAGAAACTGTGTCAGACAGTTTACAGTTTCATTGCAAATGGCTAATTTGGGAGGAACGGGTATAAAAATGTGATGCTCTTTTAACATTTGGAACATAACATCAAACTATACCATTCATGACTTAAACATACATTGCAGTACTTATGTATACCATATAGAATGATACTTTCAGCATTCTGTTAGAAAAATTTGGTTGTTTAAAAAAAAACAAACCGGCCAGGCATGGTGGCTCACGCCTGTAATCTCAACACTTTGGGAGGCTGGGGCAGGTGGATTACCTGAGGTCAGGGGTTCGAGACCAGCCTGGCCAACATGGGGAAACCTTGTCTCTACTAAAAATACAAAAATTAACCAGGCGTGGTGGCACACGCCTGTAATCCCAGCTACTTGGGTGGCTGAAGCAGGAGAATCACTTGAGCCTGGGAGGTGAAGGTTGCAACGAGCCGGGATTGCGCCACTGCACTCCAGCCTGGGGGACAGAGCGAGACTGTCTCAAAATAAAAAAAACAAACCAACAAACAAACAAAAAAAACCTTATAAGGGTATACAGATCAGTTACCTAGAAAACTAATTTATGTGAAATTGTTGAATGAGGTACTTCATTTTATCAAGTATAGACACTCCTGCTTAATGATGGGAATATGGCCTGAGAAATACATCATTAGACAATTTCATCATTGTGAACATCATAGTTATACAACCTAGATGGTACAGCCTACTACACATGTAGGCCATATGGTATATAGCCTATTGCTCCTAGGCTACAAACCTGTACAGCATGTTACTGTATGAATACTGTAGGCAGCTGTAATACAATGGTCAGTATTTGTGTATCTAAACGTAGCTAAGCATAGAAAAAGGCACAGTAAAAATACGATATTATGATCTTATGGGACCACCATCATATATGCACCCATCATTGACAAAAATGTCGTTATGTAGCACATGACCATATTTCAAGGGTGAATGGAATTTAAAGGTCTATTTTATATAGAAAAGAAGGATGAAAGTCAGAGTGCCTGTGGGGGTAGAGAACTGGCCTAACGGAAGGACTGAAGTTAGCTACAGAAATATAATCAAGGAATCTGAACCACTGTGGCATCAGAAGAGTTTAAGTAAAAAAACCAAATACCCCAATTATCTAGGAGGTTTCAAGAAAGAAAAGAGACTGCAAATCTGACAAATTTCATTCCAAAAGCAGTTAACTGTCCAAAGAGAACAAAATGGTGCCCTCTGATCTCACCCATTTGGTGAAGTTTCCTGCCAGCTTCTGCATTTGCAGGACCACATTGTCATACTAAATTAACACAGAAAATTACTAATAGAGAATGTTCTTAGTATTCAGACAGATGCGTGACTTGGGAGTAGATGGGGCCAACTTGTGCATTCACTGGCTCTGCTCAGTGCTTAAGTTCAGAGTCTTCACTGGGGAAAGGCTGAATCTCTATCAGAGTCATAGGGGCCCAAGGAGGAAATCCTCCCACTGCTAAGGACAGGGCTGAAGCAAGCTTCAGGGAGCATTCTTCTTGTGGGGCCTTAATTCCTAGCAAAGGAGGACACTTCCTGCCTAGTTTCTGTTGCAAGAATACAGGAGTAGGAAGAAGGGATTTGGAATGACAAAAAGATGGCTCTAAAACACAATTGTCTGCCTGAGATAGTTCAAAGAAGCTACACAATTTTCCTTTCCATTGATTCATTTGTATAGTTCCTACCAGGAAATAAGTACCATATAGTGAGCAAATAGCTTACTTGTGGAAATACATTTAAGATTCCTATGCCAAGCGCATTTAACCCCAGGAGGCTCATGTGGGAGGATCGCCTGAGCCTGGGAGTTTGTGGCTGTAGTGTGCCATGATTGCATCCATGAATAGTCACTGCACTACAGCCTAAGCAACAAAGTGAGATCCTATCTCTGAAAAAAATTAATTAAAAGAAAAATATTCCTATGAAGTTTTGTGTGTATGTGTGTGTATATACATATACAGTATAGATTTATCCTATTTAAGCAAGTTTCCTGCTTATTAAAAAGATGTCAGTGAAAAATTCCAAAAATGCTGAAGGTAGTATAAATTGGGATAACTTAACTGAAGGGCAATTTGAGAATATTTACCTAAATTACAAATGTATATCCTCTCTGACCTATCATGTCTACTTCAAAGTATTTAACTTGATAGATCTGTGCATGTGAAAAATTATGCACGTGTAGGATTATTACTGAAACACCAGAACAGGGGAAGAATGGAAACAATCTAAGTGTTCATCAATTAAAAAGTGGGATAAATGATATACCCATACAATATACAATACTACACAGCCTTAAAAAGCAACAAGGAAGTGCTCTATGTCCAATTATGCAATGATTCCCAACATATAATAACTGCTGAATTAAGCAATGAACAGAGTAGGTTAGATTACAATACTACTAATAATGAAAGTATAAAAACAATATATAATGTATTCCTGCTGAAAAAAACCAACTTGATCAAGCTTCCAGATCAAATTACCATTTTACAGGAAACACAAGGTAGCAGGAAACAGCATGGGGATGCCATCAGTAAAATGTAGAGCCAGAGAAATGTTAAAGAACAAGGACCCAGTTTCTCCACAAATAAAATGCAAAGAAAACAAAATATAAACTTAGAAAGGAAGAACTTAGAGATTAAATTCAAATTAAAAGGTGTATTAGCCTATCGCTAAGATGGCAACATTGCCAAATTAATCTACAGATTCCAGCAATTCCTGTATCAAAATCTTAGCTGCCTTTTCTGCAGAAACTGACAAGCTGATCCCAAAATTCATACGGAAATTCTACAGACTCCAAATAGCCAAAACAATCTTGAAAAACAGGAGCCAAGTTGGAAGACTCACACTTCCCAATTTTAAAACTTACTCCAAAGCTATAGTGATCAAGACTGTGTGGTAATGGCATACAGATAGACACATATAGCTCAGTGGAAGAAGACAGTCCAGAAATAAATCCACACATTTATGGTCAACTGATTTTTTAAAAATATAAACCACTGAGTTGTATCCTTTTAAAGGGTGAATTTTATGGTATGTGAATTATACTTCAATACTTTTTTTAAAAAAAGCCATAGTAGCCAAATTTAATGTCTGGTCCTTGTTAAGATCATAATTTTTTTTTTTTTTTTTTTGAGACGGAGTCTCGCTCTGTTAACAGCCCAGGGTGGAGTGCAGTGGCGTGATCTCCGCTCACTGCAAGCTCCGCCTCCCGGGTTCACGCAATTTTCCTGCCTCAGCATCCCAGGTAGCTGGGACTACAGGCATCCATCACCGCGCCCGGCTAATTTTTTGTATTTTTAGTAGAGATGGGGTTTCACTGTGTTAGCCAGGATGTCTCGATCTCCTGACCTTGTGATCTGCCCGCCTCGGCCTCCCAAAGTGCTGGGATTACAGGTGTGAGCCACCGCACCTGGCCAAGATCATAATTTAAAAAAAAAAAATTTTTTTTTGAGACAATTGGAGAAAATACTAACTTAATATTTGATAATATTTGGTAATTATTGTGATTTTTTTTTTTTTTTTTTTTTTGAGACGGAGTCTCGCTCTCGTTGCCCAGTTTGGTGAGCAACGGTGCAATCTCGGCTCGATGCAATGGCTCACGGCAACCTCCACCTCCCGGGTTCAAGCGATTCTCCCGCCTCAGTCTCCCAAGTAGCTGGGATTACAGACATGCACCAGCAGCCCGACTAATTTTGTATTTTTAGTAGAGGCAGGGTTTCTCCATGTTGGTCAGGCTGGTTGCGAACTCCCGACCTCAGGTGATCTGCCCTCCTCAGTCTCCCAAAGTGCTGGGATTATAGGCATGAGCCACTGCGCCTGGCCTGTGATTATTAATATAATGGTATTGCAATTGTTAAAACAAAGAAACAAAATAAGAACTTGTATTTGCTAGAGACACATATTAAGAATTATGAATGAAATGATAATGTCTGGAATTGTCACAAAATATTACAGTTGAGAGATATAAATGAAATAAAATTGGCTATGTGTTAAAAACTGCTGACTGGGTGTGGTGGCTCACACCCGTAATTCCAGCACTTTGGGAGGCTTAGGCAGGTGGATCACTTGAGGCCAGGAGTTACACCAGCCTGGCCAACATAGTGAAACCCCATCTCTACCAAAAATACAAAAATTAGCTGGGTGTGGTGGCACATGCCTATAGTCCTAGCTACTTGGGTGGTTCAGGCATGAAAATTGCTTAAACTAGGAAGGCAGAGGCTGCAGTGAGCCAAGATAACCCCACTACACTCTAGCCTAGGTGACAGAGCAAGACTATCTCAAAAAAAAAAAAAAAAAAAAAAAAAATTGTTGAAGCTCTTCCCTGTAGGATAGCTTACAAACAAACAAACAAAAAAAATCACTGAAGCTTGGTAATGGGGGTTTATTATACTTATCCCAACTTCTGAATGTTGCTTAAATTATCCATAATAAAGCATTTAAAAAATACATATTTACAATTGCTTGCACATGTATAGAACAGCTCTTGATAGATACATAAGAAATATGGCTGGGCTTGGTGGCTCACTCCTGTAATCCCAGCACTTTGGGAGGCTGAGGCAGGCAGATTACTTGAGCTCAGGAGTGCAAGACCAGCCTGGCCAACATGGTGAAATCCCATCTCTACTAAAAATACAAAAATTAGCCAGATGTGGCGCACGCCGGTAATCCCAAATACTTGGGAGGTTGAGGCAGGAGAATTACTTGAGCCCAGGAGGTGGAGGTTGCAGTGAGCTGAGATTGGGTCACTGCACTCCAGCCTGGGCGACAGAATGGGACTCTGTCTCAAAAAAAAAAAAAGTATAATTCTCTTTCCCTCTAAGGAGAACTAGATGGAAGAGGACATGGTAATGGCAGACTTTTTTTTTCCCCACACTCTTTTTTTTAAAAGTAGGTTCTAGAGCAAAAGGATAACAGCAACAGACCACCACCACTGGTGCTTAGTAGATGCATATAAAAAGCATCATTTTTTTTGAGACAAATTAATGTAAGCCCTGCTGATTGATGGAATTTAGTTCAGAGTCTCAATCCCACATGGAGTAAGAATAAAACTGAAAACACACTCTTGAATTTCTCACCCCTAATCCAGCCCCAGTAACATTCACCTTCACTTACAAGTTCTTGCCAGTTAATACAGAGGCAGATTTCATCACATAAAGGTAAAAACCAAAGAAGTATACTCCTGGAGACTGTATTAAGCTTCTAGGCTCAATCCAATCCAACAGTGAGCAGGAGCCAGGTATTTACCTCCTATTGGTAGCAAGCCAGGTGAAATCAAGAAACTTGATATTTGGGGGAAACAGAAAAAAACCTTTTGTGAGCAGAGGTGGTATGACCAGAGCCTGGTAAGCATTCCTGGGAGAGTACTATTTTCATTGATCAGTTTCACTGGTTTCTAATATGATAACTTTTGCAGGTATAAAATCCTGCCTGGTATAAAATCCCGCCTGGCATAAAAAAGTTGGGTAAATTAAGTGTAGGTAGGCTTGCTTGAAGACGGAAATGGCATTGATTTGCAGATGCAATGCATTACAGCCCTTTACTGTGGTTCATGTGTATTCTGAGTACAAGGAAGTAATGAAGGCTGCCACCCACCTTGATTCTTGTCATCTGGCTCAGGGTCCGGTTTCAGTCTTTTCACACTGTGGCCACTCTCTGAGCTGTAACAAAACACATGGTGATTTGAGCCATGTCCAATCTTGCAGATCAAAGCTCAGGGAATCAGGAACACCAATAACTATTTATATGTGTCTTAGGCAGTCTCAAGAGGCTGGGATGATAAAAATGAATGAAAAGTATTCATTTCAGATTCTTAATCTCCTTCCAATTGCATCATTAGTCATAAAGACAATTTAAACTCCTGACAAATCCAGGGAATAAAGCACTGTATCTTCAAACATCACTTCAACTTCAGATTCTTGGCCACCTTTATCACTCAAATTGGTTAGAACTATAGATGGATTTCAAGAATATTTAGACATGTTCATAAATGACAAACATTTAGTAATTACAGATTGAAGGAAACATCTTTAGTGACAAGCTAGAGATTCTGAGAGTCACCCAGAAGACTTTCACTAAAAGAACGTATAAGGAATGTATTTCAATGAAGAAAGAAATGATCCCAGAAGGAAGGAATTCCAGAAGGAAGAGGTGGGGAACAAAGAAACTGGCAAAAGGAAATATAAGTCTAAACAAATACTGTCTGTATCAAAAAATAACATCTAGTTTGTGGTGTTCAACATGACCATACTGAAGTCACCTCTAAGACTGGGACATTACTGTGTGTATGTACTACCTGGTATTTTCTTGCAGGAAGTGCAGAGCAGGTTCCATTTAAGAGTTACGTGGGAAGCCCAGGAGCAGTGGCTCACACCTGTATAATCCCATTACTTTGGGAGGCCAAGGCAGACGGATCACCTGAGGTCAGGAGTTTGACACCAGCCTGGTCAACATGGTGAAACCCCGTCTCTACTAAAAATACAAAATTAGCCAGGCGTGGTGGTGTGTGCTTGTAATCCCAGCTACCTGGGAGGCTGAGGCAGGAGAATCGCTTGAACCCAGGAGGCAGAGGTGAGCCAAAATCGTACCATTGCACTCCAGTCTGGGCGACAAAAGCGAAACCCCAGCTCAAAAAAAAAGAAAAGAAAAACAAAAAGAATCAGTGTATACAAAACCACAATGCAATTAAGTTGGAAATCAATGACAAAAGAGAAACGTATTTTGTAGCCTCTAAGACACTGTTATATCATCATAAGGTGTTAAAATGTGTGTGTGGCGAGGGGGAAGGCTTATCTTCCCCCTTACTGAAATATGGTTGTTACCTCAATATGGAGATTTAAAAAATACATTTCTAAATAATTCCTGAGTCAAAGAAGAAATCATAACGGATATTTTAAAATACTTAGAAGGAAATATAAAACTTATATACAATCAAAGAAGGAAATATAAAACTTACATACAGTGAAAGCTAAGGAAAATTTATAGCTTCAGAAGCCTATAACTAAAAAGGCTGCACATTCATGAACTAGGTATCTGACAGTTTTTTCTAACAATAAATAAAAGAATAAACTAGAAGAGAGTAAAGAATATTCCTTTGAAGAAAGTAAGAAATTGCTGCTTGTTTTGTTCTTACGCTTCATGACATATACATGCCAATGGCTTCCAGACCTTCACCAGGCAGCAGAATCACTCATGGAACTTTGAAAACTACGACTCCCAGACTTCACTTCAAACTTACTGAACCAGAATTAGTGCGAGGCCTACAAATATAAATTATTAACAAACTCCCAGGTAATTCCAATAAACTCAGGGTCGGCCTACAAATATAAATTATTAACAAACTCCCAGGTGATTCCAATAAACTCAGGGTTGGCCAGATTAGGAACTCCTGCCCCAGGAGACTAATTCATCACCTTGCTACACAAAGCAACATTAAATGATGTTGTTTCAAAACCCAAAAGGGGTTATATGCAGGTCACCAAATAAGCTACAGAGCCTTTTCCAAAGGTGATCTAAGGACAAAGGGAGACAGCTACAACACCTATTCTGCGACCACCAAGAGCAGTCTCAAGGGATAACAAATTGATCACCTGGAGAGCCCTCCCTTGGCATATTCCAGTAAAATTGACCCAGGTCCAAATCCTGCGAGTCCCTGGTCTTGCAGGAAAGCTTATGTGAGAATTTGAAAGGAATAATTCATGGTTTGGGTAGCGAGCCCTTCTCAGGATAACTCCTCCCCTCTGCTGCTATACCAGCATGACATTTTTACATGTAGGCAGTGTTCCTAAGAACATCTGCAGCAGATGGGTGGTGTGCCAAACCACAAGACTGCATCAATACATTCCCTTCAAAACATATGGCTGGTTGCCAATATATCATATTGATTTTCCTAACAGACTGCACTTAAACTTATCATTTCGCCCAGTCTGTTGGGTCAAATCGAAATGACCAGATTCAATCACTCTGATGCCATTTCAGGATTTGGAAAGGGAGGAGCAAACGTAGCAAAGCTTATCACAGCCTCAAGACAGTGCTATCACTTCCCCATCAATCCAACCTAGCCACAGCCAGGTCTGTAACCCTGTCAGGGCTGCCATGTTCTTTCAGGACAGGATGTCTTTGCAGCAGCTATTCCCTCTGCCTAGACTGTTCTCTCCCTTTTTGCTTGTCAAAGCACTAGTCGTCCTACCTAATCAGCATCTTTCCAATGGTTTCCCCAACCTCCCCAACATGGAGATGCACACAACCTCCAAGCAGCATTGTATGCTCCTTCTTCTTGCTCTCAGTACACCCTACATAGATCCTTTCACAAGACTCACTACCTCATTTGTCTAGACAGAAGCGCAAATATTGAACTCGAGCTCTCTATTTCTCTATGATCTTGCACAAAGAAGGGTCTCAACCTCTCAAACTCTTGGTCTTCTCATCTACAAAACAGGGATTATAATTGTACTTTCACAGGATTGTTGAAGAATACATGAGATCATGCACAGGAAGCACTTAACACAATGTCTGGTGTGGCAGATCCCCACTGAAGAGTAGCTAGTATTTATATTTGTTGAATAAATGGTCAGAGAGACGAGGGTTGAAGCCTATAGAAGGCCCCAAATCTGGAAAGGGAGAGAGGCATAGGTGAGCACACCAAGGGAACTTCACCAGGACTCACATGAAGTAAGCGTTGGCTCTGTCTTCCATTACAAGTGGTGTTTCAGAGTACATGGTCAAAGCAAAATCTAAGTTGTGTGAGTGCTGACTGACCTCTTATGCTTCACAGCTCCTGCCAACAGCTTTGCCTGGGAGAACTTGTTCTTGGTTTCTATGGGCTTCACACTCAGTTTCTTTTCCACTTCCTTCTTGTTCTCTTGAGAAATTCCAACCTTCTTGAGGTTATTGTGAGTTACCAGTTAAGGGTCAAACTAAGCAAAAGGAAGGACAACAAATATAACCCACTAGCCCTTCAGCTGTGCTATGTAATGTCTGGCCTACTTATTTAAATAAATGCCCCACCCTTCTTTATTCTGCCAGTCAAATCCAGCCGATTCAAAGATAAATGAAAGAGACCATGGAGGAAGACAGCATAGAAAGCCCAAAATAATACAGATAAGCAAACTTCTCCTCTGATTCTCAAGGAAAATCTGAGCATAGCCACAAAACCCACCATTACCAAGGACATGGCCAATACCATGCTTGATGGGGAAAACAAAGATCTTAAGAAATATAAAGAAAACACACACACAAAAATGTGGCTCCCCTGAAAACGTGCTTCCCCCTTCAAGGGTTAAATCAAATTTTGCAGAATGTTGTTATGACTATCAGTGGCATTTAATCTTAGACATTACTAAGACTAACTCCTGCTCCACTGGTGCAAGGAAGCATCGGAATCACCCCAAGGCTCATCAGATATGTCAAATCCCTCCCTGCCCCAAATCCACTGAATGAGGACCTCTAGAGGCCAGGGAGTTTGTTTTAAACACTCTCTGAAGGTGATTTTACACTTGATCTTAGTCAAAACACTGAGAAACGATCAAAGGTGATTTTAATGAGACATCCTGTGCATATATACAACAACTGAAAAGCGGTTTTTAAAAGCATGACCAGTTCACTTGTAACATCAGTTTTTCGTTCTTGATGCCAATCTCTGGCTCTCAACTTTTTTTTTTTTTTTGAAGTGAAGAAAGGCCCCAAATTTTTGTCGGGGAGGTCACTTTCACTTGTTCCCTCCACCAGCCCTCCCTCCTCTCCCTCCACTTCTCCCTCCATTTTATGCTCTCCCTCAAAATGTCTTAGACAACAGATGTCTGGCCTACTTATTTAAATAAATGCCCCACCCTTCTTTATTCTGCCAGTCAAATCCAGCTGATTCAAAGAAAAATGAAAGAACATGGAGGAAGACAACATAGAAAGCCCAAAATAATACAGATAAGCAACCTTTTCCTCTGATTCTCAATGAAAATCTGACACGGTGCAAGTCCTTATTTAAGATGCAGTAGTGCCTGGAACAATAGTGACATCTAGTGCCCAGGAAATCTAAAAAGCATGAATTATCAGCCCAAAGAGGTGGGTGGAAGTAGAGAATGTATGGTTAAGGTTATTTGTCTAGGCATCTTTGAACAATGGAGAAAACTGAGTTCCGGAAATCCTAAAATTCTAATTCTAATCACTCTCCAGGCAACTGACTCTGTTCTTATGGGCACAAGTTACCTTAAATATTTGCAGTATGCAACAGAAATTAGATATAATGCTCAGTACTATTATGAGTTTAATGAATTTAATGTTTTTAGGGTCATCATGGAAATAATGTTTTGTTTTGTTTTTTTTGAGACGGAGTCTCGCTCTGTCACCCAGGCTGGAGTGCAGTGGCGCGATCTTCACTCACTGCAATCTCCGCCTCCCGGGTTCACGCCATTCTCCTGCCTTAGCCTCCCAAGTAGCTGGGACTACAGGCGCCCGCCACCACACCCGGCTAATTTTCGTATTTTTAGTAGAGACGGGGTTTCACCGTGTTAGCCAGGATGGTCTCGATCTCCTGACCTCGTGATCCGCCCATCTTGGCCTCCCAAAGTGCTGGGATTACAGGCGTGAGCCACCGCGCCCGGCCAATAATCTTATTTTTGATCCGCAAAGTACAAGCAATTTTTCCTTCTTAAGCCCCTCTTCTCCCAAAATGCTTTAAAAACACAAACACACCTCAAAAATCTCAAGAAACTCATTAGATGCAGCATTCTCTTAAAATTGCACCGTTTTTAACATACGCAATACTGCTAAATACTGGTTTAACCTGAGAGGAAACAACAAGAGTTCTGTTATTTACATGGTTTAAACCACAGCTTATTTGTATTCAGAAGTATCCTATTATACAACATATCATATAGTAATCAAGCAAAGCCAGGAACAAGTTCCTAACTTAGAGCTTCTATAAACAAATGTCTAATCCTTCAATTCCTATCTCAACATGTCTCTGGCTACTTGCATGCTTGGGATTAGTGCATTAGATGTCAGTAAGTTGAAAGGCCTGCTTTTTTTCAGTTTTTCTAGACAGTCAGAACTTTCCAAGTTTCCAGTTAAAGCCCTTATCCCTGGAGCCTCATTGTACTGCAATGTTACCAGGACACAAAGGTTTCTTTTGTCTCACTGCTGCCCCGTTCATTCTTTCCTTTTAATTGAAAACCAAAGGGCATCTCACACTGAACAGCACTTCTCCCCAGATGCTGCTTTGGGGGACACTGTATGTCTTATTTGCTAGTCTGCCAACATAAAACAAAATATCATTCAAGTGAGAAGTGTAATGAATGTATTTCCTTGGACGAAAAAGCTTTGTGTCTGAAACAATGCAACATGGGTATCTGCCTATCTCTACAAACGAACACATATTATTCTGGGGTCATCAGGGTCAGGGAAGGGGGAGTTCAAAATAATCAGCCTCAATCCTACAGTTGAGATTGAGGTATAACTTTCCATAAACTTCTATCTCCATGTTGCACATGAATGCCAGTAACAGAACTGGGACTGGAAGCCAGGTCTTTTCTGGTACAGAACACCAGTTCTGATGTAAATCAATTCCCAGGGTATCTGTCCATTCCAGTCCATGTCTTCTCCCACATAATCCTTTTTTTTTTTTTTTTTTTTTAAGACGAAGTCTTGTTCTGTCCCCAGGCTGGAGTACAGTGGCGTGACCTTGGCCCACTGCAGTCTCCACCTCCCGGGTTCAAGCGATTCTCCTGCCTCAGCCTCCTGAGTAGTTGGGACTACAGGCACAAGCTACCATGCCTGGCTAATTTTTGTATTTTTAGCAGAGATGGGTTTTCACCATTTTGGCCAGGCTGGTCTCAAACTCTTGAACTCAAGTGATCCTCCTGCCTCGGCCTCCCAAAGTGCTGGAATTACAGGCATGATCCACCGTGTCCGGGCCTCCCACATAACTCTTAAAATGGAAGCTGCTGCACATTCTCTGCAAGAAAATACCAACTAGTACATATACACAGTCAAGTCGTCCATTTTGGAGGTGAAGCCTGTTGGATTACACCAGTGATGTTACTCAACATATAAGCCTGAAATATCCAAATAAGCTTCCTCACATGAAGACAAATGGTCCTATTAATATCTCTTATTAATCATTTATTAATTTATTCACATATTTACCAAGAATCTACTATATGCCAGGCACTGGGGAAATCAGAAGTGGCCAAAGTCAGATAGTCTTTTTCTTATGGAGCTCATTTATTTCACATTCTAGCAGGAAAGAGATAGACAAACCAGTAGGCAAATAAAGAAAGACAACTTTCAGATAGTGACAAATCTATAAAAAATGATATTACTGGCCAAGTGCAGTGGCTCACGCCTGTAATCCCAGCACTTTGGGATGCTGGAGTGGCCGGATCACCTGAAGTAAGGAGTTCGAGACCAGCCTGACCAATATGATGAAACCTCGTCTCCACTAAAAATATAAAAATTAGCTGGGCGTAGTGGCGTGCACCTGTAATCCCAGCTACTCGGGGGGCTGAGACAGGAGAATCACTCGAACCCGGGAGGCAGAGGTTGCAGTGAGCCAAGATCGTACCACTGCACTCCAGCCTGGGCAACAAGAGAGAAACTCCTTCTCAAAAAAAAAAATTGATATTACCGATAGCAATTTTAGGTGGAGTGCTTAGGGAAGGTCTCTAAAAGGGAGAGCTGAGCAGAGGGCTAAGCTGTGAAATGCGTCTTGCAAAATCTGAGGGCAGAACATTTTGGGCTGAGGAAACAGCAAGTCTGAGGCCTTGAGATGGACTCAGAAAGCATGGTGAGAGAGAACATAAAGAAGGGCAGCAGGCTGCAGTACAGTCAACATGAGAAAGAGTGGCTTCAAGATGCAACAAGGAGGTGGGTTGGCCTAAATAATGTAGAGCCTTCAATGGCCTGATACAGAATAAGACTTTAGTCTAAATATAAGGGGAAGCCACTAGAGTGTTTCAAATAGAAAAGTGACATGATGCCATGTATGGTTTTTAAAGTTCCCTTTCTTGTCTAAGGAATAGATTATTGAGGATGAGAGCAGAAACAAACCAATTAGATGGTCACAGGAGTCCAGAAGAAAGTCTACTAGTACTACAGTAGCAGTAGATACCTAGAATTCAAGAGATTTGGAGTATATTTTGGAAGCAGTTCTTGGCCCAGGCACCTGGAGGCATAGGACTACCAGTTACTGGGACTGGGAGGACCAGAAAAAGAAGAGACTATGGGGAAGGGCAGTGTGATGAGAGTGGGGGTTATGTGGCACGATATTGAGAATTTTGATTCAGCTAAGTTACATTTGGGATGTCTATTAAGACATTTAAGTGGATGACCAAAAGGCAACAATGAGCCACAGCAAAGTCATCTTTGCAGATTTCTCAGCCCTTCTATGGAGAGAGGGCATGCTATAACCAGTAGAGAACATCTCACTAAGAATACAGGAAAGTTGCTAAACATGTTCTTTTAAAACTCAGAGGCCAATTTCTCCCCTGGATGAAGCTGGCTGCACTGCCCACCTGTCTGAGAGTCTAATCCCAGTACTATTAGGATTGATGCCTTGAGTTAACCCTAAGAAGGATGTGGACTTTTGACAACACTCTTGCACACAACACAAACTCCACAACCCGTTGCCAGCTTTTCAGAATCACAGGAAAATCAGTTGAAAAATGACTTGAGAAATCACCAGGTAGAAAACCCCCCTTCTGTTGATGAGGAGATGACATCCATAGATGCTGATGAGAAAATGGACACCTTACAGGTTTTCCTCCACGTACAAAGGATATTCTGTATTCCTTCAGTTCTTTCAGTTCTTCTTCTCTTCGTTGCTTTTCTATTAGTTCCTGCTGTCGAGAAACCTCATCAAGGAAGTTGGTCTCATCTTCATCTAAGCCTCTTACCATGTTTTCTGAGGAAATAATTAAACAGGGAACACTTAGCAGGCTAAAGGGAAAAATAAGATTTTTCCTTTCCCCTTTTTTAATAAACAGCAGATTCTTCAGGGGATTAAAAAAAAAAGAACTGGTAAATACCATCGCGTTTGAATAGATAACAGCGCATAAAAAAACAAGGCATTTTTCCCATTACTAAATATTACCATAGAATTAAAATGGGTGTTTTGAGCTCTAAACAAAAATATTCAATGTGGTTTAGAAGGCTGAAGGCTGTCTCTTTTCCACCAAATGAGCATCTGGAGACTCGAAAATCAAGACAATTCCATGGCTAGTTAGGAAAAGTGCTGCACGAGGCAAAAGTGCGTCAAAAATACCCCACAGAGTCCCTTGAACTCTGTGTTTTCGGAAGCTTACTGAATTTGAACTGTTCCTCATACTCCTGCTGCTTCCTGTCCTTCTGTTCCTGTAGTCTTTCATACAGAGAGCGAGGGTCATAAACCTCCTCTGGACATTCTGAAAGGAAAAGGAGATGGGAGAGAGGTGGAGGGGGAGGAGATACATACTTCAGATTGTTTTCATATTATTTTGGAATCACAAAAGCCTTTAAAGACAAAGTCAAGTCTCTGCATGATCTGAGGGTGTGGACAACACAAAAATAGTACAAAGTCCAGTTTCCCTTCGGACCTCAGAGAGGGGCCAGCAGTTCTCAAAGCCAACTATCAATGTCAATAGCGCCCATGGCCTGAAACAGTTAAGTGATTGAGGGGCCAGCCCTAACCCTCCACAGCAGCCGTGTTCTCAGTTGTTCAGACCATGGATCCACCTGTATAGATGGAGGAGAGGAGCAGAATCTCTTGGAAGGCAGTGTGGAAGGCAGAAAAGGAATAGGATGTGAGTATCCTGGCTCTACTCCCAGCTGTGCAGGACCTTACACAGGTGACTTCGCCCCTCTGAGTCTCAGTTCCTCAACTCTAAAGTAAGGATAATTGGCCAGCATGGTGGCTCACGCCTGTAATCCCAGCACTTTGGGAGGCCGATGCAGGAGTTCAGGAGTTTGGAACCAGCCTGGCCAACATGATGAAACTCCATCTCTACCAAAAATACAAAAATTAGCCAGGCATGGTAGCAGGTGCCTGTAATCCCAATTACTCGGAAGGCTGAAGCAGGAGAATCTCTTGAGCCCGGGAGGTGGAGGTTGCAGTGAGCCAAGATCGCACCACTGCACTCCAGCCTGGGCAACAGAGTGAGACTCCGTCTCAAAAAAGTAAATAAATAAAACAAAGTGAGGACAATTAATACCTACTCTGCAGGACTACTGCATGGATTAAAGACCATTATACTGAATATCACAGTATACCTTCTGGATCTTCAGGTTTTCGAACTTTCTCCCATTCTTCTTGCCTCCTTTTGCGCCGTTCATCTAGTTCCGCCTCAGACACAAATCTCTTTTTGATAACAAGGTTACCATCATCCCCTCCATCCATAATGAAACAACCAATCTACAAAACAAAAACAAAAACAAAAATATCATTTCAAGGGAGAACTGCAATTAAAATTCTAAAGAGAAACAAGGAGATTTAGCTCTGTCTCACCCAGCAACAAACTAAAAATTATCTTCCGACTTTGAATTGAAAAAATTCTCAGCCGGGTACGGTGGCAAATGCCTGTAATCCCGGCACTTTGGGAGGCCAAGGCAGGCAGATCACAAGGTCAGTTCAAGACCAGCCTGACTGACATGGTGAAACCCCATCTCTACTAAAAATACAAAAATTAGTCAGGCATGGTGGCACGCACCTGTAATCTCAGCTACTCAGGAGGCTGAGGCAGGAGAATCACTTAAACCTGGAGGCACCCAAGCCTGAGCGACAGGGCAAGACCTTGTCTCAAAAAAAAAAAAAAAACTCTCAAATAGTTTATAGGCCATTGATGAAAGCACATGAATACACTTTTCCTAACATATCAGGGAATTTTTATTAACATCGATGTTATCTACACAGTTGGCAAGAGGACCTGGAGTAATTCTTACTACCTGGTGTTCCATAGTAAATCTCACATTGCAGATAACTTCTCTGTCCCTCTAATCTAGATAAATTGGCCTCCTGAGCATCCCATCCTTTTCCCAGCTCTCATCCGCCTTTATTTCTGTAACATCTGACATTGTTTCTTCTTGAAATTCCTGTTTCTGGGACACTACACTATCTTGATTCACCTGTTCTTGCCTCCAAGTAGATTAAGATGGAGAATCTCAGCTACTGAAGATTTAGTCATCAAGTCCAGTCTGTACAGCAGGGAAGGTGAACAAACCATGAATGGAGAAAGTGAGACTGGAAGAACAGATCTCCTAACTCCAACTTCAGTTCCAAGTACTTTCCTGAATACTAATCTGACTCATTTATCTCTCTCCTGACCTTCCTCCTTATAAACCCTTTGTCTGTGCCATTTAAGATTTGAACTTCAATCTTTCTCTTTTCTCACTCTCACAATCACCTCAACCATTTTATGCATATTTTGACACAGAAGATTACCTAATCTGTTATTTCTACCTGAGCTTTTCTTCAGAGGAGAGAAGGAAATAAAGATAGCAGAGTGTGTATTACTTATTACTCCTTTTTTTTTTTTTTTTTTGAGACGAAGTCTCATTCTGTCGCCCAAGCTGGAGTCCAGTGGTACAATCTCGACTCACTGCAACCTCCGCCTCCCGGGTTCAAGCAATTCTCCTGTCTCTGCCTGCTGAGTAGCTGGGACTACAGGCGTGTGCCAACATGCCCAGCTAATTTTTGTATTTTTAGTAGAGATGGGGTTTCACTATGTCAGCCAGGCTTGTCTCGAACTCCTTACCTCGTGATCCACCTGCCTAGGCCTCCCAAAGTGCTGGGATTATAGGTGTAAGCCACCGCAGCTGGCCGTATTACTCCTTTTAAACTAAACCTCTGTTTTTCTTTATTGGTTTCTTTCCTTTTGAGTAACTGTGGAATCAACCCCTACCCAGACATGTTATGTGTTATTCACAGCACTATGCGCTAACAAGGAGGCACATATTCAATCCAATGTCCATTCCAAGATGACCACTAACAACAAAAACAGCAAGTTTCCACGCTACCACAAAAATAAGGCAGCTAACCGCTAATGAGCTCTTACCATGTACTGTACACTTTTTATGGATATTATCTAATTAACATGGTCATTGATCCTATGAGAAATATTATGTTTATAGATGAAGTTGAGGTCCAGAGGAGTTAGATTATTTGTCTAAGGTGATACACGTGGTGAATGGTAGAGCCAAGAACCAAAGTCAGGCCTAACATCAAAAATTCGTACTCTTACCAACTTTACTATACTCCTCCCCAGAAAACACTAAATCTTGGTTGAAAACAAAGACATGTCGACTTCAGCTTTCTTCCTACTTCAAATTCCAGTGTTGAGAATATTCATGCAACATTTTTATTTAGTAAAGCTAGAAATGGAAGCTGAAAAAACAAACCCAAACATTCAGAACAAGAGAATAGTCTCAGCCTGTTGCTGAGGTTTAGTTTAATGTAACAATAATAAGAAAGAATTGTGAAAATTACTAGAAAGAAATGAAATCAACTGACAGACGCTGTTGCTCCCACCTAAAGCCCACAACCTGGACACTTCTGATTTAGCAGCACTCAACGACTCCAGTCAGAGGCTCATTACTGAAGCAGAACTGTTCAGTCTCTGTGAAAATGCCAAAAATTCCTCAAGTTCTACAGAACAACCTCTTATGAAACCAGAGCCAACAATTTCTTAAACGTCTCTGGCAGAGAAAACGTGAACTTTCTAGGGCTCTAATGGTTGGGAGACATTCTGGACAACCCTCAGTTTCCCCCTTTCTTATTCCCTATTAACCATTAAGTCTCCTTTCTCATCCTGTATTAATCACTTGGTTTCTTTCCATCACCCATTTTTCCTAAATAATTCAGAGTAGGATAGGTCCTTATAGCCTACCTAACACGATAATCACTCGACATCTGAATTTACCATACACACCCAGGAGAAGGTCATCCAACTCATATATTAAAACTTCAAGAGGGACCACTGCACTCCCTTCCTAGGCAGCCAACTCCCTCTCCAAGCACATTTGACTGTTAGGATAGTTCTTCCTTAAACTGAACTGAAATCTGTTTTACTATAAATTCAACACATAGGTTCAATCCACTGGGACTATACAAAAAGAATCGAATCTTTTCTAACATGACCATATTTCAGTTGTTTGAAGACAATTCCCATGTTCTTCCTAATTTGTTGTTTTTCTGAGCCAAACATTCCTAGTTACTTTAATCTTACAAGATGGAGAAAAATAATCATGTCTCTGGGAAATGAATTTATCAGATTAGATATGATTTAAACCTGGGAAATAAATACTAGGATATGGCAATGCCATTGGTGCCCCAGTAAATGTCTCTCTTCATTCTTGTTATATATATATAATTTTTTTTTTTATTTTAGGACAGAGACTCGCTCTGCTGCCCAGGCAGAGTGCAGTGGCATGATCTTGGCTCACTGCAACCTCCGCCTCCCAGATTCAAGTGATTCTCCTGCTTCAGCCTCCTGAATAGCTGGGATTACAGGTGTGTGCCACCATGCCCGGCTAATTTTTGTATTTTTAGTAAAGATGGGGTTTCATTATGTTGGCCAGGCTGGTCTTGAACTCCTGACCTCAGGTGATCCACTGGCCTTGGCCTCCCAAAGTGTTGGGATTACAGGCATGAGCCACTGTGCCCAGCCTTTATTTTTAAAACAGAAAATTAAAAAATCTTCCAATATGCCAAAAAAAAAAAAAAAAAAAAAAAACCCAAACCCTAGATTTTTACATTTCCATCTAAATAAGAAATCAGAGAGCCTCCTGGGTTCAAGCAGTTCTCATGCCTCAGCCTCCCGAATAGCTGGGACTACAGGCATGCACCACTACACCTGACTAATTTTTTTTTTTTTTTTTTTTTTTTTTTTGCAGAAACAGGGTTTCACCATGTTGCCCAGGCTGGTCTCAAATTCCTGGACTCAAGCGATATGATCTGCCCACCTCAGCCTGCCAAAGTGCTGGGGTTATACGTATGAGCCACTGCACCCGGTCTACAATCTTTTATACACAGGGACAAAACCAGAAATCAGTTGGTTAATGAAAATAAGAAATAAAGCAAATGCATACATTAAAAAAAAAAAATTAAAGACAAGTGCTGCAGGGGCAAAAAGGGGATAAGAAATGTATTTCTCATCAGCTCCTAGTGGGTTGGTCTCCCAAAGCAAAGTCACACTGTCAAAACTAATGCACACTTATAAAAGTCTGCTCTTTAAAACTAATTTCTTAATTCAGGTTGGGCATGGTGGCTCATGCCTATAATCCCAGCACTTTGGGAGGCCAAGGCAGGAGGACCAGCCTGGACAATAAAGTGAGACCCCCCCATCTCTACAAAAAAATTTTAAAAACTAGCCAGGCATGGTGGTGTGTGCCTGTAGTCCCAGCTACTCAGAGGCTGAGGTGGGAGGATCATTTACTCCAGGAGGCTGAGGCTGCAGTGAGCCATGATTGCACCACTGTGCTCTAGCCTGCGCAACAGAGTGAGACCCTGTCTCAACAAATAAATTAATTAATTAATAATAAAACTAATATCATAATTCTGGCATTCCCCTGATCCCCAAATAAAGAAAGTAAGCCAAGTTAGATGGCCACAATAGTAATAAATTTCTGTAAGTTTAAAAGGAGTAGACTAAAACATAGACTGCTTTATACATCTTTTTTCAAATTAGCATTTTCTTCTGTAGGTCCTCATTCTCTGCATGGCTTTGCTCAGGCTGTTCCCTCTGCCAGGAATACCCTTGCTTTCTTTTCACCCCATGCAAACTGCTGCTCCATCCACCCAGAATCTCACTGAAGATCATCTCCTTTATGAAAAGACCTCCTAGAGTAGTTAATATGTATTTCCTTCCTTTGTGTTCCTGCTATGATCATTCATAACTCTACTACGGCCCTTATTCATTGTGTTTTATTATCTATAACTGTTCCAACAGCTCTTCGTCTCCACAGTGCTTATTATTATTAGCACAGTATCTGGCATATATTAGGTATTCAAATACTTACTAAATAAACCAACCATGAGGAGCTGAAGAATCTGAGCAGGGAGGAATGAACTCACATGAACATTCCTAGGTACTGTCAAGTGTAAGCTATAGAGATTGGTAGCCATCAAGCAAGTATTTGCTGAAGTGTCAGTATCATAGGAATTCTATTCAAACACCATACAATTTATGCAGTAAGAAACAAAGGACCAAAACTTAAATCACTTTACTATATCATATAATTGATATCATCTTTCAAAAATAACTGCTACTTTCCTTTAATTTCAACTGATGAAAAATGGTCACTTAACCTGCAAAAGCAGTACTTGATGCAGACAGCGTATTTCTTTGAAGAGTCCAATGGCTGTTTATTCTGCAAGAAAGAGGTGATAAGTACCTGTAACTTACTGACCTGCTGGAAGTAGACAGAGAAGCTAGAAAACTAGATTGTAGTGACTTCTAATTCCTATTGTCTAGGTAAATTTTCACAAGTCTCTTCTTTTCCCCTTTTGTTTACTAGAGTAATTAAAAACAAAACAAAAGACAAACAGCCCAGCGATATCGGGGATATGGGCTCTAACTGTGAAGACCCCTGTAGGAATGCAGAGGACTTACATTAGGAATGCTTATTTTGTCCTTACTGTGTTCCACTTTAGAAAGAGTAAACAAATGCTGTCAGCTTTCCTTTACTCACATGTTTTTCAAAGTGACTCAAGTTTAATTATCAAACTAAACATTACATTATTTTTTAAATGATTTATTCAAGTTCTTCAAATAGGGAATTCATAGAAAACTAAAATCATTTCAAAATTCACTTTGTCCACCAAACTTAAGAGTTCAAACTGGCACAAATAAAGAACGTGGTTTTCAAATCTGCCTGACAGTCAAGAAAACAAAGTTCTTATATTTCAAGCCAAAGTAACTGTTAAACACTGAACTACTGGGTTTACATTGGAGACCGTGGTATTTAATTTCCAGGGTGGTGGGACAAAATGGGCTCAGTTCTTACACAGCACACCACACATTTTAAAATACAAAACTTACATTGCTGCTCCCCAAATAATTGCTATTCCTAACTTGAAAAATGACTCCATTAAGCTAGTGCCATGACACAGGTAATGAGATCTGGTTTCCTATGGAATTGAATTATGTGATGGCAAACTACTTAAGTGTTTACATCACTGGCCACCATATCCTTCTAATTCTAAAATTAGACAGACTGTACATGTAAAAACACACCAGAATCAGGTTTCTGTGTTCTGTTGTTTTAAGGCTTCACTCTGAGTAGCAAAAGCAATAGGTCAATTCATTTCCTTCTATCAGTAAATACAGATTATTGCTTTCCAACATTTTTTACTCTGATGTTCAAGTCACATTGTACTTCAAAATGCAGGACAGCAACTAAGAGGAATTTGCCATCTGGCTAACTCAAGTATATTCCAAATAAAGACTGCTCTCTGGACAGAAGGCACTTCTACCAAGATACAATAATTTAGATTTTTTAAAATTTAGCTGACTTTTCCTATATCATAAAATTTATTTAGAGGATGGTAACTGCTAACAGAGAGCCCGCTGTTAGCATTTATTACTAGGCAAAGTAAAGTCAATCTTCTAACACTGAAGCTTATTTAACATACTCCAGTAGCAAAGGAGACTAAAATAATCTAAAAACTAAACCACAGAAAAAGCAATTTAATCCATATTTTAAATGTTTATTATAAGGGGCAATTTACAATAACCTTTCAGGCATCTATGAAACACATACAATAAAAAATTCGGCTTTGCAATAACCTCTCAGGCATCTATGGAACACATATAATAAGAAATTCGGCCAGGCGCAGTGGCTCACACCTATAATCCTAGCACTTTGGGAGGCCGAGGCAGGTTGATCACTTGAGTTCAGGAGTTCAAGACCAGCCTGGCCAACATGGTGAAACCCCATCTCTACTAGAAATACAAAATTAGCCAGGTGTGGTGATATGCACCTGTAATCCCAGCTACCTGGGAGGCTGAGGCAGGAGAATCACTTGAACCCAGGAGGCGAAGGTTGCAGTGAGCTGAGATTTCACGCCACTGTACTCCAGCCTGGGCAACAGAGTGAGACTCCGTCTCAGAAAAAGAAAAAAAACAAAAAGAAATTAAGGCCTGGCGCGGTAGCTCACACCTGCAATCTGAGCACTTTGGGAGGCCAAGGCAGGACTGTTTGAGTCCAGGAGTTCAAGACCTGCCTGGGTAACATGGCGAAACCCCATCTCTATTAAAAATAAACAAACAAACAGACTGGGCACAGTGGCTCATGCCTGTAGTCCCAAAGCTGTGGGAGGCCAAGGTGGGAGCATCACTTGAGGCCAGGAGTTTAGGACCAGCCTGGGCAACACAGTGAGACTCTGTCTCTACAAAAAAAATTTAAAAATTAGCCAGGTGTGATGGTGCACTACTTAGGAGGCTGAAGTGGGAAGATGGCTTCAGCCAAGGAGTTTCAGGCTACAGTGAGCTATGAGGGCCACTGCACTCCAGACTGGGCAACAGCACAAGACCCTGCCTGGGGGGGGGGAAAAAAAAAGTTAAACAAATTATTGATTTATCTTTCCATAGCGCAAGAGCAGTCTCAAATGCGCGTTTATCTTGAATTCACCTATATGCACTAGAAGACAACTAATTTAAATATCAGTTCCCTTAGCTGATCCTCATTCACATGCGCCTCTCCGAATATGAACACTTCCCTCACTATGCATGATTGTATTCATTGCATTTTTTACATATTGTGACTCCTAAATACAAACCAACAACTTCATCTGGGGCTCACAGGAAGAAAAACAGCAGCTTTTTCCAAAGCCAAAATAAAACTTGCCTGAGGATCTAGCGAAAAAAAACCCAAACCAAAGTACTTTTCCTATTCTCTCACAACACAGTATAATTCTGTGAGGGATATGTCCCCACACACCAGGCAATCCACCAATTCTGCAGCAGACACCAACCGGCTGGGTGTCCTCTAATTCAGTTCAACTCTGACACTACCTACCTGGATGGAGACTGCATCAGATCCCACAGGCTGAGGGCTGAGTCCCACAAGACTAGCCTCCATTTTAGATACCAACCACAAGGACCAGGTTGTTTTCCCCGTGGTTCGGACCAACTGGCTATTAATCGGGGTTCCCATGACCTGCTCCTTAGGTTCTATGAATTTGCTAGACCAGTTCACAGAACTCAGAGGAACTTAGAGGAACACTTTGCTTACATATACCGGTTTATTATAAAAGGATATTACAAAGAATACAGATGAAGCGATGCATAGGGCGAGGCATGTGGGAAAGGCACAGAGCTTCCATGCACTCTCTGGGGCACCATCATCCAGGAACCTCCCACGTCCACCTATTCAGAAGTTCCCCAAACCCAGTCTTTTGGGGTTTTATGGAAGCTTCATCACTTAGACATGATTAATTAAACAGTGACCACTGGTGATCAACACAATCATCAGCTCCTCTGCCCTCTCCTCTCCCCAGAAGTTGGACACTGAAGAGGGGCTGAAAGTACCAACTCTCTAATCTTCCCTGGGTCTTTCAAGTGACCAGCCCCCATCCTAAAGCTACTTAGGGGCTGCCAGCCACCAGTCAGCTCCTTAGCATATAAAAAGACACCAATCATTTTGGAGATTCCAAGGATTACAGGAGTTGTATGCCACAGGAGACAGGGACGAAGGCCAAATATGTATTTTATAATATCACACTGGCCATGTCAGAATTGTGCAACACTGGTACTACAATTAACATGCTGCTTCCCTGAAATTTCAAGGGTAGCTTTGCTTGTAAGCTATTTTGTCATCTAGGCTCACTTCAGACCCTAACCCACACCTCAAGTCATACTCCATCCTCCCTCCCCCCACCCTACGTAACTCCACTTCAAGACCATATTAAAAACAAAATAAAACAAATAATCACGGTGCCAGTTACTCAGGAGGCTGAGACTGGAGGACTGCTTGAGCCTAGGAGTTCAAAGCCAGCCTGGGCAACATAACGAGATACCCATTTCCCTTTTAAAAAAAAAAAAAACGGGGGGAGGGGGAGCTTTGCATTACAATAACCAGACAAGGCCAAATAATTTTTTTTTTTTTTTTGGCGCAGTGGCTCATGCCTGTAACCCTAGCATTTTGGGAGGCTGAGGCAGATGGATCATCTGAGGTCAGGAGTTCGAGACCAACCTGACCAACATGGCGAAACCCCGTCTCTACTAAAACTACAAAAATTAACTGGGCGTGGTAGCACATGCCTGTAATCCCAGCTACCCAGGAGGCTGAGGCAGGAGAATCGCTTGAACCCGGGAGGCTGAGGTTGTAGTGAGCCGAGATCGCACCACTGCACTCCAGCCTGCGTGATGCGAGCAAGACTCCATCTCAAAAGAAAAAAAATTGTTTGAAGCAAATATTTACAGAGAACCTATTACGTGCAAGATACAATGCTATGTACTAAACAGGCAACTGAGGAACTTACACTCATTCAGTAAAAGAAGTAAGGTTGGTATACAGCAATTTAAGGAAAAGTAAAACTAGGTTACAGGCCATTAAGAGGCACTAAAGAGTAAAGAAAGGAAGACTAGGATAAGCATTGGGGAAGCTTAATTTTCACAGTGGCTGTGACGACGCACAGTGAAAGTGGTGGAAATTTTAGGTATATGAAGAATAACCATCTTTAACTTAAGGATGCTAGAAATCACACAAATTTCACATTCCAAAAATCAGAATACAGGGGGATTTTCATTTCCTGAAATAGTGGGCTAGGTATTTGAGATCAATTATCCACCTCTGCACTAAATATGCCTGAAATTTGTTTAAAAAAATTTTTTTTTTTTTGAGACAGGGTCTTGTTCTGTCACACAGGCTGGAGTGCAGTGGCACGATCTCGGCTCATTGCAACCTCCACCTCCCAGGTTCAAGCGATTCTCCTGCCTCAGCCTCCTGAGTGACTGGGATTGCAGGCGCCCGCCACCATGCCTGGCTAATTTTTGTATTTTTTAGTAGAGACAGGGTTTCACCATGTTGGCCAGGCTGGTCTCAAACTCCTGACCTCAAGTGATCTGCCCACCTCGGCCTCCCAGAGTGCTGGAATTACAAGTGTGAGCCACCGCGCCCGGCCAAAAATATTAATTCTTAAATAGAAAAGCTGACAAGATAGTAAAGAATTTGGACACAATCTAGAAGGTGAAAACCAGAAATTAAGCCCAATATTCAAAATGGATTTCATCCTGAGGATTTCTCTGACCTAAAAGCTAAAGTTTCAGTGCCTTTATGAGATAACAGAAACAAGTTCAAGCCAGGAGCCCATCCAGGAAGTGGAGTCTGACAACTACCTCCCTCTCCATCTTAATTTGGTATCCAAAAGAACTACAGCTTCAAAGTAAAGATGAACTGGGAAGTAAAACAGCAGGAATAATGGACAACACAAACAGACTCTCCCAAAGGGAATTCAGACAGTGGAATTAAACACAGAGATTACAAAAACAACTATACTTTCCATTTTTAAAGAAATAAAATTAAGCCTCAAAATTAATAATAAGAAATAAGAAACTGTAAAATAGCGTCACAAACCAAACAGAACTTCAGGAACTAAAAAATGCAATATATGATTTAAGATTTCAGTGGCCGAGTTTAATAACAACGGAAATAACTTGAGAATAAAGAAATTATCCAGAATGTACTATGAAAGAACAGAGTAAAAGATATAGAGAAAAGAATGAAAAGGTTTAGTTAAATCAACAAAAAAGAGAGACAATGGGAAGCAGTATATGCATATAAAATGGCTGAGAATTTTTACAGAACTAATGAAAGACACTAATTCACAGATTCAAGAAGTCTAATAAATACCAAACAAACTGAACAAAAACAAACCCATAGTTCCATACAGCATGGTGGAAATACAGAAAACCAAAGACAAATCTTTTTTTAAACTTGTCCATACTTAATTTTAGACAAAACAATCAACATTCTATAGTGAAGAATGAAACATAATATTTAAGAATGAAGACAAAGTATGTTCAAAAGGTTACTAATAGTGAACACGTTGAAAATGCTTAATTTAGCTGCCGTAAAGGCATAATTACACTATGACCCTGTACTTTACATTGCACTTGTTACTTGATTTACCACATACGTGGTTTTCAATAGCTAAAACAGCAGCTTGACTCTAACCAAGCATCACGATTCTTGGAAGACGAAAGTGAAGACTGATCATCAACTAAATGGTTTTGACAAAATTGTTCCTTTCTTATATTATGAAGCACTTCCCCACAGGGTAAGGACATGAAGACTTCAGTTGAGAAAGATAATCGGGCAGCCTATACTTTCAGACCCTTACAAATTGTTCGCAGGTTATCTAACTAAAAGACTGTAAAAGCTGCTGTCGGCTCAATATTTTGTATCAAAACGGAGTCTACCCACTGATTCCCTTCAAAGATTTCAAAAGGGTGCCTTCTATTTTATGGTGTCCCTGTGGACACATGAATACACCAAATAATTGAAGAATCGACAAATCTTATCTCACAAGTGGTAGGCAAGAGGTCATCGGGAATTCCGACCACCAGGCTCGCATGTGGCTTCTTGGGTCCCACTCCTGAACTAACCAGTCAGACTACCTGAGGGTGCGGGGGTCTGAGAGTCTGCATTTTAAAAGGGCCCGAGGAGATGTTGTTTTCCACTAACGTTTAAGAAGCACGACTATGAACAAACAGGTCTCCCCTTTTCCTCTGTGTGGACTGACAGTCACAAGGACCACCAACTCTCAAGCATGACGCTTCAACTCTCCGTCTTTGTTCCTTAAGTTTTCTGCAAAACGGGCCAGCTGGCTTGTTTTCCCTAATAGAAAATGCGCTTGGCACAGCAACTAGTACATGGCACACAATAAATGTGCTTCCCATCCTGCACTTCCATTCTGGGATGCAACCATTTCCAACCAGACGCCGCACATCGGAGTAACCTGGGCCTGTTCCAAGACCTCTGGAACGCAGCCTTCTACTCACTTGAAGCCTGGGTGGCCCTATCTAGCAGAAAAGTGGGGAAAACCCACTAAATGCCCGGCAGTGTGGGGCCCGCCTGAAAGGGTCCTCCCCCGCCACTCAGATGCCTTCCCGCGGGCACCCTCAGCTACCCTCAGGCTGGGCCTGCAAGCCCCAGGCTTCGGCTACTCCGGGCAAGGGGCGGGTGGGCGGACTGAGAACAGGCTTGGCCCTATCCCTAACAGCAGCTACAGCTCCCCTTCTCTTGGGTAAAGAAGCTGGAACCCAGGTGTCGCCGCCAGGCCAGGACCGAGGCCGCACTCACCTACCGGCGCGCGGGAGGCGAGACGCCCTCACCTCGGCGGCGCCTACCCCAAACCGCCACCGCAGAGCCGCTCGCTCTTAAAAAAGAAAAAAAAAATGAGAGGAAGAAAGAAAGAAACAGGAAGGAACGAATGAAAGAAGAAAAAAAAAAATAGCCTTTGCTTTTGTATTCCTTTTGACCCTTCAGGGCTTCCTGTTCCTCACCGCCACAATAGAGTCCCGCCCCACTTCCGGCGACGTAACCCAATCCGCGGAGCTCTTCCTCCCCGGGAGCCCGATGGAAATCCGGTACCCTGAAAACTAGCCGGAGAGACTTGATTGGGCCGTTCACGTCTCAGGATGAGGATTGGCCAGTTTACGCTTGGGGGGCGGGCCGGTTCTCCTGATCACGTGACACGGTTTTTGAAAGGTGATTGGCTGTCAAGGAGAGGGATTGCCACCGAGGAAGGGGCGTTTCCTAGGGGACTGAGGGAGGGCCGGGGCGGTACGAAGCGGGGGAGGGCCGTGCGCGTAATGGCAGCGCCGTGGCCTCGCGTCCATCTTTACCGTTCTCTCGGACCTGTCACAAAGGAGTCGCGTCGCCGCCCCCTCGCTCCAGTGGGCCCGGGAGCTAGAGAAAGTCAGTGCCGCAGCCCGGCCGCGCTGCTCTGAGAAGCCCCCTGGGCACGCGGAGCGGGAGGGAGTGTGAGGGTTGGAGGCGACTGTGAGGGAGGGAAACAGCCTCTCGAGCCTGGGGCGGGCGGACCGGACTGGAGCCGGGGCAGGCTCTGGGAAAGGGCCTGGGAGAGAGGTGGCGTTGCTCAGAAGCCGAGAAACAGCCGATAGGTTTTCCACCGAGGCCCGCGCTTGAGGAATCCGAAGAGGTTCCTAGAAGAGGGTGTTCCCTCTTTCGGGGGTCCTCACCAGAAGAGGTTCTTGGGGGTCGCCCTTCTGAGGAGGCTGCGGCTAACAGGGCCCAGGTGAGAGGCAGCTATCTATCTCTTGGGGTGGCTCCTGGTACTGAGGGGGTCCTGATCTACTCAGGGGTGCCCGGGATAGAAAGGGTAGATGAGGGGACGCTTTGGGAGGGTTCCTTTTGTGGAGTTTGCGGTCTAGGTTGCACGGGTGGGAGGCGGGCCTCCCCTGGGAGATTTAGAAACGCCTTGGGATAGAAAGACAGAATGGGGCTGGCAGGT